TAAAGGCTCCCCAGGGGCTGAACATTTGGCAGCAAGGGAATGGGGGCACCACTCCCCTGCTGCCAAATTTCCAGACCCATGGGCAGCCTATGGGCCAGATGACATTGTGCCATGGGCCAGGTCTGGCTCGCAGGCTGGTGGTTGCACACCTTTGATTTAAAGGATTATTTCTGTTGCTTTCTGAGTAAACCTGTAATCAGCTCTACCTGTTCCATTCAGTAGTATCACAGGGGAAGATTCTTTATCTGGTACATTGGTATTTCCACGTGGAAGACTTTGAGAGCAATTCTAATGACACTTCATCTGATGTTGTGATAGTGCTGGAGTGGTGATGTGTAGCTATAATGGTCCAGGAAACATGCAAGAGGCATGGGTTTTTATGGGTGATAGCTTTTATTGGACCAGTGGTGTGGTTGGGAGGGATTTAGGCTGTCTTGGGGTACAGGGCACCCTCCTTCACGGTGCCTGCAAAGTTGACTTAGACAAATCTGTGAGCACCTTGAGGAAGGTGCCTTGTGCCCCAAAACGAGTCTAAATCCCTCTCAACCATGCTGCTGGTCCAGTAAAAGGTACCACCAATAAAAAGCCTTGCCTTGGTTTTTTGAGAGCTTTCATTTTGTGAGTCTTATAAACTGAAGTGTTTAACTTGGCTTATGAAGCTGCAGTGCATTTACAAATGCAGTATCAGAGTTATTTTTTGTAATTGCTGCATCAATTTGATATGGAGCAGAAGCTTTTGATGTTCATGTATGATGCCAGTGGGAGGAATAGTACTGGGAAGAGCATGGCCCAACAGACTTCATTAGCTAGGCTGTAAATTTGTAATCTGTCAGCAATTTTCCCATTACAGTGTTTTTCTGCCCCTTCTTTTGAAATTTAGTAAAGGTATGCACATTTGCCTCTGAGGGGGGCTTGCTATTCTTAACAATTTTTCATCCAGAAAAAATTCCTGGGCACCAGACTAACTCATGAGCCCTACCAAGAGTATTTAATCGTTTTTAATCCCCTGACTGAAACCATAGTCTATAGTTCTTTAAATTTTGCACCTCAGCTGTTTACTGTTTCTACCTCTGGATCAGGAATGTCAAGATCTAGCCCATGAGTCAAATCCAGCTCCGTTATCCACTCCCTGGTGCTGCTTCTGGATCTCTAGTTGACCCACACATGGCATGTGCTTTACTGGCCCTGTGACAGTGTCTGCCCTGGGACACATTGCCACATGTGGTTCCCATTCTAGGCAGCCTGCACATGACATTCCCCCTGGTCACTCAGAGGTAGTGCCAAATGCAGCATTGATCCCAGACTGGCTGAAGTGGGCGCTGTGTGCAGTGAATCCCAGACCAGTGGGAGCAAATGCGTGTGCTGGATTCGGCACAGGCGGAAGGTCTATGTGCCTGATCTGAACCACAGGGCTGGCCATGTGCCATTCATGCAGTCCATGAACTAGCCCTGCACTATCCATCTGGTCCATGGAGCCAAAAGAGTTCAACACCCCTGCCCTAGATTATACTTTCCCCTTCACTTACAAAATAGTCTATTCTCTAGCATTTTCTTAGCATCTGACGTGTATTAATATTCTGGACATCTAACTGGGTTGAGTCAGGATGTTAAAGGAAGCATTTGTAATGCTATTCATTAGTTTATGTATTCAGCAATTGTTATTTGTGATTCAAAGACCTTTAGAAAATATTTGGTCTGATTTTCTAGGTGAATGCAGACTTTGGCTCCATTTTCTCTACTCTTCTACCTGGAGCCAATGCTAAGTTGGCAGCCCCTGAAGGACAAACAGTCCTAGATGGCCTCGAGTTCAAGGTTGCCTTAGGAAACACCTGGAAGGAAAATTTAACAGAACTTAGTGGAGGTCAAAGGTTGGTGATCTTGTTAATGCTTATTTTTCCTTTCCGCCTTGCACCCATAATTCTGTGAAATAAGCCATTCAGATATAGGTTCTTCTCTGGGTAAGTTTGGTCTTGTATGCCTGAAGTAAGTTATGGCCCTGGGTTATAGCTCTCTGATAGCAAGCCTTCAGTGCTTTCCTTATTTACCAATCCCCCATTTTAATAATCACTATAAATAAGGTGTAGCAAATTTGGGGGGCTCCAGGGGTGGCTATGATGGCCCCTGGTGACCATGCTACCGTTGCCCTGTTCCAGCTCTAGGGTACCCTCCCTTTTGCACTCACCTGCCACTCTTGATGCATTTGTTTTATCGAAAGGAAGGCAGCCTAAGTGTCCTAGAGCGAACTCCAGTTCTTCCTGCTAGCAGGTCCCTCCTGGACCTTGCAGGTGTCAGTTCTGCCCCTCAGGCTGAGTTGGGCCCTTCTGACCCATCCATGACCCTCAGGGCACTGTAGCCTTAAGGACTATTTGCAGCCTCTGACCTTCCCTACAGCCATGCCCATGCCTCGCAGGTGTTACTGTACCATTATTCCCTTGTTGGGACCTCAGCCTTCTCAGTCTCTGCTCCTTTTCTGTAGCTCTGCCTTCTAGTGCAGGCCCACTGTGTTGGACCTGGCTTCTGGGCTCCAGCTCTTGTCTTGATAGCTTGGTCCTGGCCCTTTCTCTATCTTGCTTTGGGCAGTGAGTCTACTTTGGCTTTATCTGGGTCCCTGGCCCCTACTTGGCTGTAGCCCGCATTAGGCTACCATCTCTTTCTAGGCTGTACCCTGCCTTTGGGCTCAAGCCTTCTCTGCGTCCTGGGCCCCCTCACCTCTTGGCAGGCTCAAGACACTCTGTTCCACCATCAAGCACTATTGGGACCTCTGCCCCACCCCTAATAATCCCAAACCCAAACCACCAGATTAAACTGTAACCAAGGAATAAACACATTCACAGTAACAAACTTAACTACTTGCCTGTTTCCTTAGCTGCCTATTCCGTTGCAGCCAACTTCCTGCAGGCAGGAACCTGACTGGCTGCAGGTGTGCCACGTCCCTGTAATGGGCAGCTCCCTGTCTAGGCAGCAGTGTTTCTTTGCTGCCTTCCTTCTTGTGGCTAGCCCCTGCTCAGCTGTCTCGGCTGTTGTCTTCTGTCTTTTCTCTCCTTAAAGTAACAGGAGCCCTAGGCTTCCTGTTTTATAAAGTAAAGCGCTGAACTAATCTTATGGTACCAACACAATGGAAACCTTCAAGAACAAACTGGGTGCATCTACACGTTTATTAAAGTGCTGTAATTATGGCACATTAAGCTTAGTACCTGTAATGACAGCTACTAAACTTAATGTGCCATAATCGGTGCTACTGTGCATTAATGCAGATGAATGCTTCTTCTGTGATGTTAATGCACATTAGACTGTCTACTGCACATTAGTGCATTAGCATGTTTTTTGCCAGCCACATTAATGCACAGTAGAAGTAATCTAATGCACACTAAGTATCTTGGGTAGACATACCCACTGAAATGTAGAGAAGTGACTATAAATTAAATGAATCAGAGGAGAGTCACAGCAGCTCTAAATTAACGGCATCAAAGAGCATCTATTACCATATTAAAGACTTGTATATTTGTTTTGTCGTCTCCAGCTCTGGATTCCTCCTCTGGTTCACAAGTGCCACCTCTGTGACACTGGAACCTTTGTCTCCATTTGTGTCTCTAGCACATAAGAGGGATGTTAGCTGCTGTGCACATAATACTTTCTGCCAAAAGCAATGTAGGATCTTTAGGTTAATCTGAAAATGACCTTGCAGCCAAACTGCACTTTAGTGGAATAGCCAAAGGAAATAGGAAGGCATTCTTTTAAACTTTGTGTTTGGTTTTAGGTCTTTGGTGGCTTTGTCCCTGATCTTAGCCATGCTGCTTTTCAAACCTGCTCCAATTTACATCCTGGATGAAGTAGATGCAGCCCTTGACCTCTCCCACACACAGAACATTGGACAGATGCTTCGTACCCACTTCAGGCATTCCCAGGTAGGGTCCTGTACAGGTTTCCCTGTGTAGCTCATTTTCAGAGAGCAGGTACACAAACTAGGGAGCTCAGGGTGCATAAGACACAACCCATTCAGGTCATGCTGAATATTCTCCAAACTATGAAACCTTTTAAAGTTGCATTGCAGTATTCTGGTTCACCTACTATAATATGACTTATTTGCATAATATTTTTTTTCTTATGCAAGCAATTATTGTAGCACTATGGAGCTGTAAAGTAAGTATGGATGACTTCATTCCAAATATAAGGGATGTTGCCAGTCTGGTAAGATGTGGTTCACATCTTGAAGAGTTTTGTCCCCTGGTTTAAAATATATATTTCTAATTTGGACCCTGGTGAAATGTGCCAGGCATGAGTAGAGAAACTTCCAACTTGAGCAGGAAAATGTACACCACTGGAGGAGTTGGTTTCTTCTGGTGTTGGCCTCTTGCTCGTGTTAGAACTTGGGTGCTTATAAGCAAACCACCAGTAACTGGAATACTGTTGGTTTGGTTGGAATAATGTCCTCTCACTTCCCAGGCCAGTCTGCCTTCCTCCTGATTTTGAAACTGAATTTTCTTTTTTGCAAATTGGAGCTTTACTTACCTTGCAAGTTCACAAGCAGATGCAGTAATATTTCTGCCAGGTACAGTGCCCAGAGCACCCATTGCTATGTTCCTTTCCGACTTGCTAAAGAAATGATTATAGAGAGGGAAGGAACTGAAAAAGAGCTGTCTCTCCCTGACCTCACAAGGGGAAGGAAAGGGTCTCGACCCAATATGTTGGCTGTCAAGAAGAGGCATCTTTATAGTTTCACATGGAGTGAAGGAGCCGGGTTTCACCATAAAGCACATAGTTTGGGAAGGACCAAGACACAGGCTTAGTGGGGCTTCTGTTGGTGGTTTGGCTCCAGTTCTCCCCAAACAAAAGATCACAGGATCAAGAATAGGGGGGGTGTGCAAGTGCATGTGCATGTGAACTTGAATTGGGGAAAGACTACCACTTTTTTCTTGTGGCTTAGTTGATACTCATTACTAGAGCCAGGGTCGGCAACCTATGACCAGGGGCATTTGGCAGTGTTTTACCAGTGGGGAGCACGGGTACCTTTGCCAGTGGCCGGGCAGTGGGTGGCTCCTAGCACTGCCTGCCTCAGACCGGAGCTGCATCATTCTGGAACACTGCCAGAAAACATCGCTGACTGCTGCACTAGAGAACAGGTGCCCAGGACAACAGCCAAGTACAAAACACAAGTCCATATGCCTCATGACTTCATCCAAACTGTATCTCATTGTCCTTTTATCTTTTAGAATATGGTGTTCATGCTAGTCTGTCCTTCTTTTTAGTTCATTGTGGTCTCTCTGAAAGATGGGATGTTCACCAATGCAAATGTCCTCTACAAAACCAAGTTTGTAGACGGGGTATCCACTGTTACAAGGTACACTCAGGCACAGAATGGAAACAATGCACCTCGACAGCAAAAAGCTGGTAAAACAAAACCAAGGGAGAACAGACCTTATGTGGATGTTTGACAAGAAAATTCCACCTGCGTCACTCGGGAATCGCCTGCATTTCAGTCTCCTGGTTTGAAATGAGCAAGTGAGAGTCAATGAAGTACTCTGGCCAGTTTTCTGTAATGTACTCTTTCCAGTTGTATTTTGTATTTACATACTTCATTATACCTGTGGGTTTTTTTCAGAAAAATCTTCAGTGACTGTCCTCTGATGTTTGTAACTTTTTTTTTCTATCAGCACCTTTTCACTTCTTTTCTTGGAGGTTTTATTCTAATTTCTGCCTTTCTGCCACTTCTGGAAGAGCATTGCCCTTCAGCTTAGCTCAACCTTGACTGCCACTGTACAGTTTGTTGGCTTTGTATTTTTCCCACAAATAATTCTGATAGTTCCCCCCATTTAAAATGGCCTTTTTTTAATCATGATTTTTTTTAAAGACGAGGAAGTGAATGTTTTCCTTTATTCTGATATGCAAATGCATGATGAAACTAATACCCATCCTTTAAGATGGGTTCTTTTCCCACCTGTTCCAAGATGCATGTCTATTGCCCTTCGTTGGCAAAAGGGGATAAATGGGAGTTCATAAAGCTGGTATCATAATCCTAACTGCTGAAGAACACTGCCTAAAATGAAATGCAAACATGCCATTGACTTCCATTTAAAAGCAGGAGGAAGAAGACATTGACATTTTTTACCTTCAAAGTTATAGCTATTTGTACAGTTGCTAAATATTTTTTTTATTACATTGTCAATAAATAAATAATTTTTAGCTCAAATGCCATGTCAAATTGATTTTTGGTTTCTTCCCTCACAAGCAGATATCTGTAAGAACTGTGGCATATGACCAATAATTGAACACATTTAATCAAGCTTAAACTTCGAGCTTCATTTCTTAAATTTTTAGTCATGAATTCTTCAGTGGCACAAACTGGGCATGTAATTTTCATGGAGTGTGTAGGTACTGCAAAACTGATGTAATACTGATGCTTCAAACCATGGTGGCGAGAAAGGGGGGGCAGGAGTAGTGAGTAAAAATCAAATAACCAGTGCTATTGCCATTCCACAATTCTACTTGTTAGTCTGTGCTACCCAAACACAATTTCTTAGGATTTTTTATTATTTATTTATTTTGCTCTCATGTAGAAAAGCTGAAAATTATTCCTCAAGCCAGCAGCCAGATGGCTGCAGCTTGACATATTTGCCTCTCTTCCCCTGCTACATCTAACTGCCGTGAGGAGCTTCTATTTTATGGCCTGTGTTCTTGCTGGTTCTTCCCTTTTTAGAGTGAGTCCTAAGCAGGTAGTAAGACTAACTCAGTTAGGTCTTCACTTTAGGTTTCTTATTGAAGTCTGGGATTTTGTCCATATCACTCCTGCCTTACTTTAGCAACAGATGGTTATGATGTCTCTTCCAGGTACAAAAGACATGTTCCAAACCCATGATCGATAATCCTTCAAAAGATGCACAGCTACTGTGAACCTAAACATAAATGCCATACTAAAGTCAAACCAATGGCCCAGTATCCTATCTCTGATGGTAGCAGGAATGGACGCTTTAGAGGAAAAGCACTGAACTAGACCTAACCAGAGCAGTGATTCTCAACTAAGGTGCCGCAAGATCCTTTTGAAGGGTGCCACAGAAAGTGAAAGAAGATAAGCGGGTAAGGGCAGGCTTAGATTCTGCCTGTCTTACTGCTCCCCTGATCCCACTGCATGGCCCCTCTGTAATCAAAAGTTATGGAGGGGTACCTTGAGCCTAAACGGGTTGAGAACCACTTATTTAGAGTGATCTATCCCCTATTCATTACATTCCCTGGCTTCTACTATTATTGGTCTAGAGATGCCAGAGGAAACATCTCCAACCATTCTGTTCAACATCTATTAATAGATGTCATCCATGAGTTTTGTCTAGTTCCTTTTTGAACCTGGCTAGGTCATCTGCTTCTACCATCTCCTGTGCCAATACATTCCATAAGTGAACTACATGTGTTGAATAAAAAGGTACTTGCTTTTTGTAGTTTTAAACCTGTCTCCTAATTTTAGTCGGTGTCCCCTATTTCTAGTATTCTGGGACGTGGTGAACAAGAGTTCCCTCTTCACTTAGTCTGTCCACACCTTTCATGATTTTATAGACCTCTATCTTCCCTCTTGGCCTTCTTTCTTTTCAAACTATAAAGAGTCCTAGCCCATTTAATTTCTCCAGGTATGTCAACTGTTCTATACCCCTGAGCATTTCCATTGCCCTTCTCTACCTTTTCTAATTCTCCTACATCCTTTTTATGATGCAGGGATCAGAACTGCATGGTATTCAAGATACATGATGGATTTATACAGTGGCATAATGATGTTCTTTTCTGTGTTTGTTTTCAGTTCCTTTCTTAATGATGCCCAACACCTTTTTGGCTTTTTTGGTTACCTTTACACATTGAGCTGATGTTTTTAGAAAATTGTCTACAATGCCACCACGGTCTTTCCTGAGGTGTAACAGCTAGTTCAGAACCCAGCATTGTGTTCTATATAATTGAGATAATTTTTCCCCAGATGTATTACCTTGCTCTTGTTGATATTGAAGTGTATCTGCTACTTGTTTTGCCCACTCACTCTGGTGAGATCTTTCTGCAGCTTCTCTCAGTCAAATCCCAAGATGACAATCTAGAATAATTTGGTGTCATCTGCAAACCTGGAGATTTTATCGTGCACCAGATTGATGAAAATGTTACACAGAACTGGGCCTAATGCAGATCCCTGCAGGACTCTGCTTTGGACCTCCCTCTACCCTGAAAAGTGACCGTTTAGCTGTACCCTTCTGCTATCTTTTAACGAGCTTTTGGTCCACTAAAGAACCTTCCCTCCAACCCCATGGCAGTGCAGTTTTTTTAAAAGCCTTTAGTGAAGGACCTTGTGTTGAATGCTTTTTGATAGTCCATATATATTATGTCAGCTGGATGCCCCTTGTCCACGTGCTTGTTGACACCCTCAAGGAACTCCAGCAAATCAGTGAGGCAGGATTTCCCTTTACAAAAGCCATTTTGACACTTCCCCAGGGGATGTTTGTCCATGTTACTTGATTTTTATCTTTGTTATAGATTCTACCAACTTGTAAGGGACAGAAGTGAGACTCACTGGTCTCTAGTTCCCAGGATTGCCTCTGGAGCCCTTTTTGAAGATGGGCATTATGTTGACATCCTGCCAATCCTCTGGCAAAGAGGCCGTTTGAAAGGGTAGGTTACATGCTGTTGTCAGCGGTTGTTTCACCTTGGAACTCTTGAGTGAATGCTCTTCAGTCCTGCTGACTTCTTAGTATTTAGTTTTATCAATTTGTTCTAGAATTTCTGTTTTCACTTCAACTTGATTCAGGTCTATAGACCTCTCTGCCAGGAATGATTAATCTGGCATGAGAATTTCCCCAATATCTTCTGCAATAAAACTGTACAAAGAATTCATGCTGTAAGAAGTTGAGACTTCTGTCCTATGAGGTCCCTTACTTCTACCTGAGATTCAGGCTTAAGATCTTTACAGTGCTAAATGCCTGACTCTGGATCTCTGTTGATCACTATATTATACGTTGAAGCCCCTTCCATGTTGCAGATGGAGATCACAACAAAGAAAGAGGTCCAGAAAGTTGCCAGCTTTATCATTGGCTTGTGATCCACAGCTACCCATCTTGCTTATCAGTTCCTAAAGAGACACCCTCTGCCCCAGGCATATTTGACTCTGCTGGAGCTTAAGCATACAACTCTGTTAGCTACATTCTCTAGATCAGAGGTTCTCAAATTGTGGTCTGTGGACCACCACTGGTCCATGAGCTCCATTGAGGTGGGCTGCAGAAAGGTTGCAGAACAATTGAGAATATCTGTACCTGGCCCTGCACTTGATTTTTTTTTCTGATGACAGAGACTAAATGGTCTGCCAAGACCCTCAGCAATTTTCAAGTGGTCTGTGAAAAAAAAAAGTGAGAACCACTGCTCTAGATGTAAAATGGACTCCACCTTCCTTGTGCAGGCTGTCTCCTTAGTTGAGAGATCCAGAGGTGCAGTGTTTTCAGCCCAGAGCTTATCTAACTCCAGCCTATTGAGTTTCACAACTTTAGTGACAATTAAGTTACTAAGTGCTCATCACTAGGGATCCTGGTTTTCTCCATCTAAAAATCACAAATTCTCCGATTTAAAACCCCCAAAATCTGTGATTAAAATGAAACGCCATTATATGTACATACAGGTATCAGTGGAACACAATGTTTTGTTGATTATATTTACAATTTTGAAGCAATTTGAAAGCCTACCAGTGCCTCAATCACTCTAAAGTCTAAACACCTATAAACTTTAGCTATTGATTTGGGGTTTATCATGGAAAATCAGATCTCTCCCTGCCCCTTTGTTCACCAGGACATGGGTCTAGCTGTGGCTGTTCCCACTGCTTTGTGGTGCTGAGCAGCCCATGCCTATGCCAGTGCCTCTCACTCCCCATCCTCAGCCCTGCCCTGTTCAAGGGGGCACCACAGCTGCCAGGACTATAAGGCCAGAGACCGGATACACAGCCCCTGCCTCCCTCCACAAGTCCCAGCTACCACCTGTGGGAGGCAGCAGCTGCTGCAGCCCTCCTTCCCAGGCAGCATGGCCAGTGCAGAGCCCATGGTGGGGCACAGGGACAGGCTGCCCGCTGTGGGCTCTGGCTTCCTGTCTTGCTGCCCTCCCCCTGGGGGCTCCACAGCCTAGTGGATGGGGCCCAGCATGGCAGAGCAGAGTGGGTTGGGGAGGCTTTTGCCATTGCTTAGAGCCCTGTGCTGCCATGGCAACACCAAGCCCCAGACTACCCTAGTTGGGCAGCAGCCCCAGCTCTAGCCCTACCCAACTCCCTCCCTCACTATGGAGGCCTCAGTCTTCCCCCTCCCCACCCCCAGACTTACCTGCAGGGAGCTGCTCTCCAGGCTGCCTGGTAGCTGTGTGCATGCCTAGGTATACACATGGTGCCCCCTGCCTGACCGCCCTCTCCCCACTCCCTCCAGCCCCTTGCAGGCTGAAACTCTTCCAGCTTGCAAGGGGAAACCCAGTTCCTGCTTTTTTTCCTTAAAAAACAGTAAACTGGATTTTCTCATTTTCATGGCAAAGGAAAAACCCAGATCCCTGCTTATCACCCTAAAGGCAATGATTTGCCCTTGGTTAAGATGACAGCAGCAAAAACAATCTAGAAGGATCAGATTAAAATAATATTAATTTACCAAGGCTCATTACAAGGTTACTCTACTAGGAGGAATACAGTGTGATTTCCTTGTAGCCACACATTAGGCAGAAACAGGTAAAAGAGATTTGAGTCATTTTTGCAACTGGCTCTTGGCAGACAGGCCCAAGTGGAAAACTTGTAGCAAAGGAAGATTTAAAAACAGACTCTCAGGAAATACAGTAGCAGACAGGAACAAAAGAAACAGGAGATCAAGAACTTAAGACTCAAGTTTATCCTGCAAAAGCCTTACCTTTTTCTTAAGTAGTGAGCA